CATCACTCCAACAGCTGGAATCCATTACCCTTATATGAACCAGACCAGAAATTCTGCACTGCACTACATGAGAGCCTTCTTTAAACAATGAGCCCTACTTCTTACAGAAACATTTTGTTTCTCTATGAGTATTCCGAACTGCACAAAGTATAGGTATACAGGCATGAAGTATTACCTACTATAAATACATATATGCCAGAAAACGATATTATCGGTTTTATTCAAGCAGCCTTATATTATTACTTTCATAAGCAAATCACTTTTTTCTTTAAAATTCATCAAACTACCGTGAATATAAATCACCTGGCTTTTCACTGAATTAGCGCCACGTCGTCGCACTGTATCCTTGCTGTTAGTAGTATAAGGGACTGTTCAGTAGGGCCGCGTAGGCTGCACATTTTAGCATCCATGGTGCATGGGTACAAACAGCACCACTGTTGGATTGAGCAAAAACCTGTTAGAACACCAACAGATGTATTCCCACAGGCAGACATAAAATTAATATCGTGACGTGTTGGCACAGTGTCTAAGAGGTGCGTTTCGAACCAAAAGTGCCGAGTTCGATTCCGTTCCAAGGTCAATCTTTGTCCTACTGACGAATTCCCCTGAGCAAGGCACGTTTAAAATACATGGTTGAGAATCGGGTTACTACGTCGGTAGAACAATCGATGAGTCACGAGTTCAAGCCCCAGTCAGGGTCACTCGCCCTTCTTCCTTCTGACGCTGATAAACGAGTACCACTCTGTGGGAAGGAAACACGAGATTACATGCTAAGCTTGCACCATAGCTGTAAATTTACCTTAAAAAAGCACTCTAGGCAAATGGCACACACGAAGATCACCACAGCACCATCGAATTCATAAAAAAGGCCACCAAAACAGTCTAATCATAAACATAAGGAGTGACATTCCGACCGTGATAAACTTTCTTTTCTTCCTATAATAAAAATTAACCCCCGGTAATTCGCTAGCTGATCGATCCTCGTGCAATAACGAGATAAGGGCACTAACAGCGGGATTTTTATTTATATTATATATGCATACGGATTAAAAATAGGTGTTGGTATTCAAATATTGTGTTTACTAGATCCAACAACGTTATGCTGTTTTATACCGATGCCCTGTAGATGATAAAATATCGTGGAGTCGCCGTGACCTGCTTAAACTGTCCTCATCCTCATGTCTAATGCAAGCAAAGTGCGGTGTGACTACGCGGTGAGAATCCAGAGAAGTGATAAATTGTTATTCTTAAAGGCGGTATCGCAAGTCAGCACTCTGCCAGTAAACCCGCCCATAATACAGGGTTAATTTTTTATGAAATACTAATTATTTTCTTTCGGTAATACGTTCCAAGATAAAATATCTTTTAACCATACAGCTTCCTGAACAGTAAAACGTTGTTCCTTCACCAGAGTGGCAAAAAGACAGCTACAAGAATGATGCTTGAAAAGGAATCCGCAGCGTTGGTTTCCACGCATAATGACAATTAAATGGCGGGATCATGTAAGGAATGACGGCTCATTTCTGAGCACGGTTTACCTTAGCGTACATGGAGATTAAGAAAGAGTTTGGTTCTCTTAGACAGACTGGATGAGCACATACCACCCATTCTAGCTCATCCGCCTTTAATGTGAAAGCCGAAACACGGCAGACGTCGACCGGCAGATCAACATGTCACCTAAAGAAACAAAGTAAATGCAAATATGCCATCAGAGGGGAACTGTTACTTGTACGATGCAGTAAACAAGTGACTTTTAGCAAAAGTGCTATAAAACTTTGAATGCAAAGGACATCACAAAGAAACAAGAGAAGTCCTGCTTATGCAAACTGCTAAAGTTTATGACGATGCACGCACACAAAGACAATAATTATATTTCATAAAGCATACTTGAGAAATAGTTTATTTTTTAAACGTATAATCGTTAATTTTTTCTTCTACCCCAAATATCTTATAGGTTGCCATTTATATGAAAGGCAGGCTGAGTTATTACTTCACGCTATTTCATTTTTTCTTCATTGAATTTGTTCACTTTAACAGTATTCACTTAAAATCAAAAGCCATTCTTCTTGTTGCAAGCAGATATCCCCTTTATGAGTTATTCTTAATTTTCTACCCTCCTTCAACTCGTCAGTAGTTCGCAAATTTTCCACATCCCAGAAAATTTCAAAGAAACTTCAAGACCAATTACGGAATCATTTTTTCAGCCAAACAATTTGCTGCTTCGCAAGATTTTGGAACTTTTCTCAGATGGCTAAGCCCAGTATCACGTGATAATGAAAAACACACTTCCATGGCTAAAAATGCAGACCGCTGGGGTTCACTAAAAAACTCGATAAGCATGAATTATGAAGCACGGCGGATCAATAAACTGGTTCACATCATTTACTACGTTGGAGTATTCCTGTTATATGGTATGGAAGCATAAGCAGGACGATATGGTGTATTGTCACTACCATGTAAATGTCCTACCGTCTGCTAAAATGGCTCTTCAACTGGTCCTGAAATTATTTACAAGCGATTATAGTTACCAGATAATGAAGTATGCTGAAGTGCAGAGGGTTTGCAAACCCTGGGGTCGTTTTGCTATACCTAATTATATAATTCTTTGATTTCCGTTCATGCTGACAGCCAGGGAATTACATTTTATCGAGTTTGGCCATTTGACCTCATTTTGTTAATAACTGATCTGGAAGAAGACTTTTACTAACAAACTTTGGCATATATTGAAACACGAATCGGTCTTCAGCACTGAATGAATACCTGATTCCATATATTATCCTGCTCAAAAATGACTACCGTTGAAGCATCAGGAAAAATGTTCTTTACCTACACACCCAACGGATACAATGAGCAATATATTCATGGAGAAATTGAGCCATGATCCCAAAAAAAGTAATCCACCATTATCAAAAATCGAAATTAACTAGGAATAAAGCTCTCTTCAATTCATTTATTATGACATAACGTTTATAGGACAATAGCTTAGAGCTACAGATTGTAGTTATTAATTAGTAGCCTGAAAATCAAACCAATTTTTGAATTTATATATATATTCTTCGTTTGTATATAAGCGGAGCTGCCTAGCATATCCTGTTTCAGTTTTAAGCGTCTTATACATATATATGTTAGGCAGATCCGCTTACATACAAATAAAGAATGTGCTACGCGCTGAACTGTCTCGTCAATAAAACGAACTATGCATAAGATCCCATTGTTTATCAAACTCTTTCCGATCTTATGTCTGAATAATAAATTGACTCATTCTTCGTCCAGGGTATAAGAGAGATAAGTATTGTGCCACAATATTAAGATTAATAAAATATTAATTACCACAATGAATTTCATTGCGGCACAACCCGCAGGATCTTCAAGCCAACAAAAGACGTTTAACGTTGACCTGATAATTCCGCACCAATCCGAATAATAAACTATTCGTCGGACTCGATTCTAATCTACCTCAAATTAACATGCAACTCGAAATCGATCCATGATGGAAGTGGGACCAAAATATGACTTTAAGCTTACAACATAACTTTTCGTTAAAACATACGCAAAATAGCTAAGTAAACTGTAAATTATCACTGCTTGTTGATAGTGTAACATACTACATCCTGTCCTACAAACATTTCTCGATTCCACATCCAGTTAATTACTCAACAAAATTGCGACATCAGTGGTTTGAGACAAAAATACGATGTTTAAGTTTTACACAACCGTTTCCTAAAGATATAACCC